ATATTAACAGAGCAGATATAAAAAGTCTATTCACATTGTACAGAATTCTGTGGAAACATATGTTACTGGGCAAGGGACATAAAAGCAATCGTATCCCCTTTCACGGTCATCATCAATTCCTTCTTTTCATCCCATCAGAACATCACTTTTAAGTTAAATATTTGTTTTTTCCTTTCCACCAACAAAACTATGTTCATTATCCAGTGTAAACCGTTACCTTTCTTTTTAAAATTAAACTAGCATTAAGTAGTATAATGAAGTTCAATTCAAAAAACAGTGTAATGTAAATCCTAAGAACAACCTGCTGCATAAGCTGAAAACTGTCTTACTTTTTGCATCAATTGAGGAAAAGAGTAGTGAAATGGGAAGAACTGATGCAAGGCATGACAAAAATCTTTCTAACCATCATCATGAACTTGTAGAGATCATGGGTCAATTAAAACCCCACACAAGAAGCTTTCATTCTAGTTGCATCAGTTTTGATTTTATTTCTGAACAGGCAAGGTTCAATTCCCAGTGTTTCATTCACTGTATCAGTTTCTGATACTAGAATGCAGAACAAGGAAGCAAACATGGCCACAACAAACCTTTTTCTGCTAGAAATGCCTCCAGAAGAATCACCACTGGACAGCTTCAGACTTTCACCTTCTCAGTCTACAAATCATCTCATTTTCAAATACACAGAAAGCCTCGCGCATTTTGGACCCTCTTTGTCCTAACTAGAAGGATTAGAAATGCCACATAATAATACAGTTGAAGGATACAGGACAAGTGAAAAATTACTGTACAAGTCTCCTTTCCTCAAGAAGGCAGGCTTAAAAAGCACAGACAACAAATACACTTGGCTTATCTAAAACAAGTTACGTGAACTCTAGATTACAACACACAAAGAGCGTGCAGCTTGCAGCGTACGTATCTGCAAGTTTCGCCATTAAGGATGGCTCAGAAACACAGCTAGCCACATACCACAGATTTCAGGTGATAAAGCATTCCCAAGGCTGCAGTCACATGTCCAGAAATAAGAAAGGGAAAGTGTTTGGAAACCTTTTTATAAAACATAAAATATCTGGTTAAACAATACCAAGGCACACAAATGAACCTGTAACAACTGAGAGGTGAGCTGTAAGGAAAGCTCATGACAGACTAGAAATACTTCTCCTCTTACAGCTACAGTTCTCTCCACCCTTTGTTTCATCCTTCCAGTGGAACAGGTAAAAGGTGAAGGAAACACACACATCTGGGATGTCTGCACCTCAGATGATCTAATGGCAAAGATCAGCTGTGGGGACTGGAAGGAGCTCCCACCTGGCCCCCTGCTTTCCAAATGTGTTAGCAGTATAGTTGCTTGGTAAAGCTCTGCCCACCGCATCAGGAGGCAGATCTGTTGTTAGCTGAGAATTGTATTAATTCTGAAAGCTGTCCATCAGGACTGATTTTAACTAAACCAAACAAATACAGCATTGTTTTCCTCCAGCCCATCTGCACCTCTCTGCGATACCACATTTACCCAGTTCACAGAAGTGTTTTACTCTGTGCATACCAAGGCTCATCACTTGAAAGAGGAGGGAGGGTTTCAGATTTGATACCATTTTGTATTTCCCTGGGACATGAACAAAACAGACATTCATGGATCTCTTTTCATTCCAACCCTCCTAGCTACTCCCAGTTGCCCACCAGTACCACACTGGAGCATAAGACCATTATCAGCTGAGACCAATGCCCCTGCCTCTCTTGGGATCCTCTCAAGCTTGAAGTCACATCCCAAAACTGCACACCCAAACCCTAGCCCATCGCCATGCAGGACTTTACTGACCTTGATTCCCTCAAGCGCAGAGCCACCATCTTCCCTCCATGGCGGGTGAAAAGCTGTCTGGCTTTCAGTCTAGTCTCTGCTAAAGAAGCAACTTCTGGCCCTTGTGTCACCTCTCCATTGCTTTCAAATCCCTCTTTGTAACTGCTTTCCTCCTTTTGCTCTTTCTAAAGCCTTCCTCAGCCTGTGTCTACAGCAACCTACGTTTTTGTAGCCTGTTTTCCCTTCTCTGGTTGAGCTGCAGCTGCTCCCAATTTGCTGCCCATTCAACACGAGGGCAGGGAATCAAGACTTAACACTTTGCAGATGGGTGTAACAGCCCCACCGCAATTATGTCTAAAATGAAAGGCCTAGCACAGTGGCACTAGTGCAAAAGGACACAACACAAGCAAGAACAAAGGACAGCAGCCTCCATCTTTAGTCAGTCCTGTTTAAATAGTTTCACTTTACTGGCACTGCACTCCTCCACCCAAGCAGGAGAGCTTTCCAGACATGAAATGGTTCAAATGAGTGCAGAAACCACTTATTAAAAAAACCAAAAAACACCAAACTTCTTCAGAAAATGAGACTCCCAAGTAGGTCTTAAAGAGCAGCTCATCCAAGAAAGAGAAAGAGAAGGCATCCTCACAGCCACATGAAGTTGTATCAACAAATTCACTGGAGACCTAAAAAATTCTGTTATAATCTCATCCACAAGATTGTTTGCAAAAATCTTCAAGGGATCACTCTTCTAACCCGAAAGTATGTGTCAAGTTTCCTAGTTACTTATAAAGGGAAAACAAAATCTGTGAAACCCAAAAGCCTACGAGGTGGAAGGGAGGGAGGAGGGGAAACAGCTGGATCCCACACAAAGGACTGAGCCAGCAACTGCAGTAAATTGTGTGTTGCAATATTCTCAGCCAACAGTAAGAGCAACAGACAGGGAGGGAAGGAAAGCTTGCTCCCTGGCTCGGAAGCTGTAGTCACCCATGAGAGGTTTACACTGCTCTCACCAAAACATAAACATCACAGAAAAGCGATGCTTCCATCACCCTTCTCTGTTCTCCACTGTGCAAAAATCCCCTCAGTTTATACATGACGTGCAAGTCATTTTGTAATTAAATGAAAGGCTGCAATATAAAATAATGAGGACTAAATGTAAAATCAAGCTTTATTACGAAATCAAGAGGCATAAGAAGTAAACGGAAAGAGAAATACCTTTACTCGGTAAATCTGGAGGTCAGATTGAACACAAGAAAACCTCAGACATAAGAACTTAAAAGGCAGATATGAATGGTCACATGGAGAAAAAGCAACACTGACCGAAACTGAGACTTTGCATTTTTACCTTTGGAGTTTTGTGTAAAAGGGCAAATGAGTACATGTGGAATTTTCTAGAAGCACAGAGAACCTCATGGAGGACCAATGCAAACAGACAGCATTCCTCCACCAGCTGATTACATTACCTGTGTGGTCTAAGGCAAAAGGTTAGAGCGAATACAGGCATTGTGTCTGATAAGAACAGAGCAGCCTTTCTTTGCCAGGCTCTTTAAGCTTTCTTTAAACAGCATTGCGCAATTTAAACCCTGCTCTAATTGAGGAGATGCAGACACAGACCCACCCTAAGAACTGCAAAAAAACTCCAAATAGAAGAATCATACAGGTCAACCCTGGGCATTAAGGATGGGAAGGAGAGCAAACAACAGTGGCCATGAAATTTGGAAAACCTCTTTTTGGCTCAAAGCCAAATCTGCAGCACATCTGCCAGCAGACACATTGTCATTACCTGGCATCAGCTACAGAAGGCATCACGACTCTGGGGGCTTGCTTAGTGGAGGGGTAGCAAGTGAGCAATGCCAACACCCCTGAGCTGGCAGGGCTGAGACTTTTAACCATGCAAACAAATAAGGAGATGTGAAATATCTACCCTCAGATAACCCAGGCTGCACAGTGGGGAACACAGAGACATAGATTTGAGTCCCAGTTCTGATTTTTATCAGTGGCTCTGACCTTACAAAGCCAAATCTGGCACCAATTAAGCTGTCTTAGCTTTTATAACCATTATGCCCATCTCCCAGAACTGACAGAAAAAACAGAAAAGCAAGGACAAAGACTGTCCCATTTGTCATGGGAATACAGCATACCAGCTAGGGCCCTGTCATCACCAGTCTGGCAAAATCCAAAATACTGCAGAGAGTGAAAGTCTCCTAAAAAGTGAGTGAAGGGAAAAATGAACAATTTATTTTGATTGGGGCGTTAGCTGGTTTGGCACAACAGCTTGGAGTCCAATGGTTATGTCGTAGTGGCATGTAAATCATGTTTTGATTCCTGACTGTTCAATAATTTGCAAATACTTATTAATCAGTACTCCAGTGCTGAACTGCAAACCCCTGGTATTTCTGTATGCAGTTTCAAAAGAGATTACTTATGCCTGCGGTTCTGATCTTTCTGCTTCTTCCCTCACCCCTCCCAAAGGCGAGAATACTGGAGATACCGAAATCTTGCTTTAGGGTTAAAATACCTATTTGAGCATTGTCCATACTTGTTCATGAATTTATAGTACAGAGAGATCTCTCTGGTATTGTTCTCTCAACCACTTCAAGCAAGAGCGTTCAGGTAGTGGCTGCTTTTGATCAGAAACAGACATCACCAGAAAAGTTCATACTTCTCCTTTTCATCAGGAGGGTGACATGAAACTAAAGACTCATCTTGCAAATCACGGTAACACAGAGCAGAGGGAGAATTTATTTTAAGAATCACACTAATGCACTAACTGTGCAAAATCTTAAGCACATATAAGCAAGCACAGTGACTAAAGATCCTATACCTACACTACTCATGAACAAAGCAAGAACTGCAACAGCTCCAAAAGCTGGCACAGGAACTAGCATCCCCATCACCAGTCAGTCCTCACAAAAAGCAAATAAACTGTTTACTTGGGGACAAGCAGCATGTCCCATTTAGTCTAGGCTGTCTAAATGACAGACAAAGATAGCTATCAATATCTAAAGTAACTGGTCAGAATCCCACACAGGCACCCTGGAAGACAAAGAAAAGCATCCAAGGCCTTACACTATTAAAAGAGGGGAATAAAAGTTTAATATAAACCAATTATTTTCTCTTAAATCTCTACAGAGTAGCAAGCATCAACATATTTCAAGTGGAACATGAAGCAAACTGGTGTTAAACAGCTTAAGTTTTTGTTTCTTACCTCCTCAGGTACAATGATTAAAGGGTATTTGTCCTCTGATAAGAAGTTAAAAATAACCCACACTTTAAATGCATCTTCATCACTAATCAGCAAAGGACTTTTAGAGAGGTTCTTTTTAGCACAGAGAGTCCAGCACATCCTGTTAAATTCAACTTTGTCAAAGTTTCCTTGAACCTAAAATGAAAAAATTGAACAACAACAAAATAAATTAATATACACAAATGACACAGAGTAACAGACAGACAAAGTTTACCAGGCACACAAAAACGTCATGCAAAAAGCACTGACAGAATTCTAGTTTGCAAGCAACATCGAGGCCCAAAAAGAGCACTGTGGCAGACTGGTCTGACCTACTGCATGGGGTCAACTAAGGAATTTCTTCCAGCAAAATCTACATCCAACATCCAGTTTCTGGTCGAGTTAGTAACAGCCTGACTTCATGTGAAAGAGGCTAAACTGCATTCTGTGTTTCCTCCAGCACATTAAGCTTTTGCTTCAAAAGCACCTTCATAACTGTCTTAAGTTTCCAAATGCCCTTTTATTGCACTGAGTTACTGAGATTTTATATAACAAATATTGAAACCAATATAGCTAGAACTACACATGTATATGCTAAAAGGCATATTAGAACAATAGATGGGAAAGACCTTTAATATGTTTTTCCACTTCAAGTTACTCAAATGTAACTCTTGTAGGATATTTATAAACTTATAAACATTGTTTCTCAAATGCTGATCCACTTAAAATCTTTCCTTTTTCTCAGACTTGCAAATCTTCACCTTGATAAAAATAATTCTTCATTTTTGTTATTCTTTATCATACTTAGCAACTGTACATACCCATCTGTGAATTATTTACACACACAAAAGCTTTCATTTCCTCCATTTTCTTTTTAAACCCTGATTTATGTTAGAGATTAAATCTGGTTATCTCCCTACAATATCAATGCTCTTTCTTTGCCAACAGGTAACTGATAAAGGCATGTTCTGCACTGTAATGGAAGTCCCTTGAGATTTCACAAAACATGTCTAAATTAACAGGTTCTTGTACTTCTTGTGGTAAATGTTCACTGACATTTTCTTACAACGGGCCAAATCATGCATCTTGGTGCAGATGCTCCAAGGACACCCCTGCAAACTGTATGATCTCCTATCCAGTCTGGTAAGAGGTCAGATATAGCGAAGGGCGAGCCACAGTGGCTAACTCAAAGCCAGGCTAAGGAAGGGGATGAAATTACATGGGCAGAGGAAAAAAGAGAAAAAGAAAAAGACAGCAGTAAACAGGAAGCCGACCCTATTCTAAGCAGCACTTTACAGTACAATTTACAGGACTAAAAGTGAGACATGAAAGCAAGCCATATATTTTGCATGCTTGCAGAGCAGGCCACTAGTGTAAGGGATGGTGCAAGAGGCCAGCTACTGTGCTTTGGAAAAGGTGGAAGCTGTAGGAGCTGTAGCTGCTGTAGCCACAAGCTCAGCGTAACAGTTGTTTGTACAAGAAACACGGGTCTTAAATGAAACAGCAGCTAAACGAACGAATTCCCTTTGGAACAAGGGCTAGAAGCCATGTTTCCTTCTCCTTCCTTCAATCTACCAGCACCTCATCCCTTGGCTACTCTTGCCTTTGCTTTTTCCTATGTGTCCTCCCCACCCTGCCCAATGAAGCTTGACTTCTTTTCTAAAACAGCTTCAGCCACCCAGACGATGAGCAGTTCCACCTTAGAAATGTCCTGGTGGTTATGCTACTCCCAAGGAACATGCCAATGGGGTAGGAAATTTCCTTTCTTCCAGCCACCATCTGGCAATTGCTCTAAGCTATATAAATACCGTGGGTTGCTCCATGAGCTGCTGATACTTTAAAGCATGGTAGCAATCAATGACCACAGGGACACAGGTAGAGAAAGGCACAGACCCTGGCCAGGTGAAGGAAAGTGTGTGGTTTCTGCTCACATAGCAAAGTTGGACTGCGTGTGCTTCAGAAACTCATATCAAAATCCAGGTAACCTACAGCACGGTACTGCCACCAGGATTAGGCAGCAGCCACACAGGAGGTTTCAGGACCATCTTGCCACAGGGGACTAGGCTGCACTGTGCCAGGGGTCCCACTTTAGACATACAAGTTCTTTTTTCAGAATCCAGACTTGCTTCTGAAATGGACTTCGTGGGGCCCATGTGTCATCCAGAGCAGAGACACTCTTTAGGAATTATTCAGGAACAATAATCAGACAAGCACCCAAGACTCAGCTCTCCAAAATAACTCCAATTCACATCTGTGGTTTTGTTTTTTTTTCTAAAGCATCATACTGGCTGTTAAATAAAGGATATAATCACAAAATCACTGTTCCAGAGACATCTGGAGTCAGGGATGGAACCAAATATTTCCATTCAATGAAAAACAAAAATTTTCCTATGCAATTCCATGTAGCAATGCCAACTATTCCTGGAGCCTTCGTTCTACAAGTACATTTACAGGGGGCAAGAGGGGAAGGAAAGTGAAAATCCTGCAACTCAACTCAAACTGCTTTAGAGCTAACTACATACTACAGAAGTCTGGGCTGTGCTCTTTTGGCTTCCTTGATGGGCAACTCTACTACATAGTAGCTACATAATGATTCTCTGAATAAATAATTTCTCTGGATTTATGACAGATCATTTCTAAGCATAGTTTCAAAAATTGAAAATATTTGAACAGTTTCTAAGTTATACTGGAACTTGTGTGCAAAAGTACCTCTAATTTAGTTAAGAAACTATAAAAGTAGAAAATTTTCAAACAGGAGGAACTGATGACAAAAAGAGTCATAAACCCATATACACAGTGCTTTTCATTGACATAAACAAGACATATTTATAAAAACAGATTGGGCCAAAGACTATCCTGGTATTTCCTGATGATTCCTCAGTTCTATATAAAGAGGCTTTATTGCAAGATAACACAGGTAAACACAAGTAAGTCAGCACTATAAAATACAAAAAAGCTGTAATTGTTGTATCTAAAAGTACAACAGAAGTTCTTCCAAAGGGTTACAAAGTCCTCAATAAAATTCTAAGTCACAGTTAAGTATCTGTTTTAAAAGAAATCTAAGGATTAATTCTTTAAATATTTTACTAATTTTTTAAAGCAAGTATCTTGAGATAAAAAAAAAAACCAAACCAAACCAAAAAAAAAAAACAAAACAAAAAACCCCCCCCCCCCCCAAAAATAAAACCAACAAAAACAAACCCAAACACCCTCTCTTGACCAGACTGCTCTTGCTCAAATCAATTAATTCACCAGAAAACATATGACTGGAAATTGAGAGAACTCGCTCTGTATTTGGGGGTATGAAGCACCAGTCCTTCTTTAGTAGCCTTGCTTACTAGCATAAATTAATAGCATTTGTTGTGCAATCACCATATCCGAAAGAACAGATTATGCCCTGGGCAAATGAAAAAAGAAGGGGTTTCTTGTTTGCTTTTTTTGCTTGTATTCTTTAAACAAAGGAGACATGCTAAGAACCAGTGACTTCATCCTACTGTATCTCATCTTTTGGTACTCACGTAAAGTCATCTCTAAAAGATGTCACAATCAAGATTTTTCCAGTCCAAAAATGTAGCCTTCTGTCTAAAGAATTTCACTCATTTTTAATAGTACATATCTAAACTGTTTACAGTTTAGCATTTTGTCAGGATTAAATAACATGAAGTTACAGGTAACTTAATCCTGTTCCTTAACATTTTCATCTTTAAAATGAACCAATGGTATGGGTATATCAGACAGTAATTGGAAGCCAGATGACTGGACGACTAAAACAACACAAGAAACTACATGCCGTCATGCTCTTTCCTTTCCTGAGAAAGCAGAGTAGCTTGACCTTTGTTTTTCCCGTGGGGTAAGAAGGTGCCCCCAGAGTAGGTAAACAGTCTAAATTCACACCAACTTGCTCATGCAGTCTTTCATTTTCAAATTAGGGTGTAATTCAAATGCAATTGCTCCTTATTTTGTAACTATTCTTCCTAGAAACACTCTGTAACAATAAAGTGTGTTTATATTTGAAAAAGCCTGCCTTCTCTCTTCTGTTGGTTTGGGGTTTTATTTTACTTAATGGTTGCTACTGCCATTTGTATTAACAAAACCACTTGGTTTAGACTTTGTAATCCTTTGGTCAAAATAAAGTCACCCTTTTTTCCAAAAATTCATATACAAACTGCTTGGTCTCCATTGAATCTTACAGGAGTTCAGACAGCCAACAAGAAGCAGAAATTAGATAAACTTGTTAGGGACAAAGCAAGATTCTCCAGCATCAAACAACCAACATGTTAAGAGATAGGTATCTTTATGTGTATTAACAGCCAACAACTCCCACACATAAAACAGGACACTGTTACTGGGTATGAGAGAAATACAGACTAGAGGGCCAGAGGACCTGATAAGTCTTAACTTAATGTAAGAACCTTCTACTGCTTCTAGGCTGCCAGACTGCGTTATATGTATCATATTTTCATAGAATCATAAAATGTGGAGTTGGAAGGGACCAACCCCTCTGTCATGGGAAGACACATTTCACTAGACCAGGTTGCTCAAAGCCGGGTCCAACCTAGCCTTGAGCACTGCCAGGGATGGGGCATCCACAACTTCTCAGGGCAACCTGTTCCAGGGCCTCACCACTCCCATCGTGACTAACTTCTCCCCTGTATCTAACCTAAACCTTTTTCAGCTTAAAGCCATTCCCCCTTGTACTTTCCTTACATGCCCTTGTAGAAAGTCCCTCTCCAGCTTTCACTACTGGAAGCTGCTCTAAGGTTTCCCCAGAGCCTTCTCTTCTCCAAGCTGAACATGCCCAACTCCCTCAGCCTGTCTTCATAGAAGAAGTGCTCCACCCTCTGCTCATCTTCATGGACCTCCCTGGACTCACTCCAGCAGGTCCATGTCCGTCTTATCTTGGGAGCCCCAGAGCTGGATGCAGTTTTCCAGGTTGGGTCTCACCAGAGTGAAGTAGAGGGGGAGAATCACCTCCTCTGACTAGTTGGTCACGCTTCTTTTGATAGATTGGTTTTCTGAGCTGCAAGAGCACATTGCCAGGTCACGCTGAACTACTTGTCAGCCAGCACCCCCCAAGTCTTTCTTCTCAGGACTGTTTGCAATCTAGTTTCTGCCCAGCCTGTATTTGTGCTTGGGACTGCCCTGGCCCAGGTGCAGGACCTTGCACTTCGCTTTGTTGAACTTCATGAGGTTGGCACTGGCCCACCCCACAAGCGTGTCACAGTCCCTCTGGATGGCATCCCTTCCCTCCAGCGTATCAACCGAGCCACACAGCTTGGTGTCGTCAGCAAATTTGCTGAGGGTGCAACTCAATCCACTGTCCATGTCACCGATAAAGATGTTGGAACAGGATCAGCCCCAATGCCGACCCCTGAGGAACACCACTCATCACTGGTCTTCACTTGGACATCGAGCCATCAACTGCAGCTCCCCGAGTGTGGTCCAGTACTTCCACCAGTATTAAATGTAGATCAAAGAAGCAGCAAAAATCATCATACAGGGCTAAGGAGTTTCCATAATCTGCAATTGCTGCATTGGACTCTTCAGCAGCATGAAAGTTCAGGACTTCTTAGCATTATAAAAGAAAGTAAATATGTATCTCTGCAGCCACAATATCAAAGTTTGAGAGTGTCTGGGGTAGGCCCCCAAGTGTACAAGAATCAGTGGTATTGAAGCTGATATGTTTGCACTATTATGTGGGCTGGTTTTTACCAACTAGCCCATTATCTCAACAGAAGTTGTTGAAGATAAGGGTTTTTTTAACTGTCAATCCCAGTGACCAGCTATCATAGAATAAGATGGAGAGGCAGGGGAAACTCTGCTGGATTTCCAGAGCATCCCACAAAACAAGGCACAACAGACAGCTGACAGTGGGTGACACTCCCTATGACACCCACTGTAATTATTTGAAGGGATCTATTTATGAAATTATTTTGTGAATAATTAAAGATATTTTTGCTCTTCCTGTTTGCAAAGGAGTCTATGACAATAATCTGCTATAGGCGTAGTATAAGGTGGGACAATCTTTAACTCCAAGACACTTTCAAATAAATTCAAGTTGGGGTACTTTATTAATATGAACATGGTTCTGCATGAACATAACTTAGACAATGACCAGCTATAACATGAAACAGAAACCAAGGAGAGGAAAATGAAACAGAGAACAGTACACCCTTCCATTTTAAGGCACAGGCTCTCCAGAACACCCACCCACCATAACCCTAAACAGGCACATTCAACCCCCAGTGTCTTCACACCAGCATGCTTCCTGGAAGCAGAAGCCTATTGTAAAGACACACTAACACAAAACCTGATAAAAGAAAAAACAGAGTACAAGAATTCAAAACTTACCTTTTCCAAGATGAATTTGTTTAGATAAGGCATGTAACCCTGATTGGAAACTGGTCCTTCATCATCATCCCTAAAGTGCTCTTCCAAGGCCACTGGATCATGGGGAACATTTAACACTGTGCACAAATTGTGTGAAAGGACCTAAGGAAAGAAAAGAAATCCGTGACAATGCTGTTGGCCTTAACTATGCTGTGTTGTCTCCAGAGCGGGCCTGTGATTCACAAAACCATGTGCAAAGCCACATGCTCGTGTCAGCACAAGTTGTAGATTTTTGTCAAAAAATGGAACATAACTAAAAAAGTTGACTCCAAGGATTCAATGGCTTTAAACAGTTACACATTTACAGAAGCAGTAACATCACAGATGGGTCCATTCCCACAGAAGTGCTAACACAGCTACAGAAGCTACCTTTTGCCCATATATACTTATGTATTTGAAAACCAGGAGAGGCATGCAGAAATGACAAAGTAATATTTAGAGTGAAATTAGATAGCTACAGAAAACAACCACAAATACCTAGCTTTTGAAATTATAAATATTTACTATCTAGTGAAAATTAGTAACAAATAGAACAACTCAATACATATATTTAGTTTACAAAGAAATGACCACTCAAAGTATCTCATCTCTCATCTGCTTCTCAACATTCACCCTATGTTTCAGTTGACAAAGTACGTTATAGAAAGGGGAAGGGTTTGACGTGCTTCTCACATTTTTATTTTAAAAAGGTATTTGCATGCATTATGTCAAGAGCTTAACACCCACAAGCACTCATGTCTATTCTTAAGAAATGACCTTCTGGTAGAGGCTACACACTTGATTAGTTTTGAGGAAGTACTGAATTATTGAAAACTAAGTGGTAGCCAACACATCTCAACTTCTTCAGTTCAGGCCGAGTTTTGCATGCACAAGCTAATGCCTTGGTACTGACAACAGGAAGGCAGAGCCTGGGTACCAGCACCTCCTGTGCCACCAGCACTTTCCCATCCCTTTCATGTTCACACAGTCTCATGTAGGTCAGCCCTGTAACATGCTGCCCATTGGGTCTTAAACATGCTGTCACTCAGGAGCCCTCTCCCCTTTGCATGATGGAGACTGAAGCCTCTTAAGATCATGTACTGACTACAGAAACCGGGTTAAGGATTTAACCTCACATGCCCAGGAATGGTCTGCATTGAAAAAACGTAATTAAGAACCAAAGGCAAAAAATACAGGAAAAGCAAAATCAGGCAGAAGTAAAACAGATTGTATTTTAGGAAGATGGAGCGAGGAGGTGGCTGGTCTTTTCTACAACAAATGGCACGACAAGACATAATGGCCTCAAGCTGCACAAGGGGAGGTTTAGATCAGATATTAGGAAAAATTTCTTCACCAAAACGGTTGTCAAGCATTCGAACAGGCTGCCCAGGGAAGAAGTGGAGTCACCATCCCTGAAGGTATTTAAAAGACGCATAGACGTGGCACTTCAGGACATGGCTTAGTGGTAAACTTGGTAGTGCTGGGGTAATGGTTGGACTTTGATGATCTTAAAGGTCTTTTCCAACCTAGCTGATTCTGTGATTTTGAAAAGGAACACTGCTGCTGGTATTTTTTTGTTTTAAATCAAAAACTAGACTGGACAAACTGCAACCGAATTTTGGCGCATGTTTTACTTTTTCACTGTGCAGCATAAAATAATAATTAAATAAAAAAAAAGACCCAAATGATGCAAAGAGGAAGCAGTAAAAAAATGTGCAGAAAATTTGTAAGTGAACTCTTTAGGCAAGAAGACCTAAAGTGGTCAAGATGGGGTAGCTGCAAAACAAGAAGTGAAAGTCTGAAGTCGTCAAAGCCCAGGAAATCAAACCTAGGCCACACACTTAAAATGTCTGGGCTGCCACCCCCTCCATCATGATGCATATTTACTTTACGTACAATGCATGATAAAGAGACATGCAGAATCTAAGTGCTAGTTAGCATAAAATCCATCAAAGATAGATGCAAGTTCAATGGAGAGATCCTCTCTACATACCTCCGAAGTTACATTTTATTTTAGAAAAGCGCACACTTCCATGAGTAATACTTACGTTCATTGCCATATGCTAACATTAGGCCACAGGAGCTAACAAAGTGCAGAAGTTTAAAAGCAGAAAAACAATAGCATCAGTCATATTACAACAAAAGCTGTATTTCCCAAAAGTAGCAAAATCATATTTAGAAGTTACCACATTTCACACTAGCCTCCATCAACAGTATATTTTCCTTCAAGCTATCCTCATTTTTAACCACTGCATTAAATCAAATATTTGAGACCATGTGATTTACATATGGAGGGAGGAAAACATACTATCATGTGTGTTTCCCCTTCTATTTAGGGCTTCTGTTGTTATTTATAGAAGACTGAGGGATTCTTGAATTTCTGAGAGATACGGATGATCTCAGTTTTCCAACCAGACTGTAGTTGCTAATACTATAACTAAAAAAAATACTCAGCTAATAAAAATATTCATAAATCATAACTGATTTAAGCTTATTATCCAAATAACTTAAAAGTCCAAATAAAACACTTTCTGATGATGTCCTTCCTATATGTTTCTCTTCTCCCTTCTTCAGCCTTCTTGCTGTGTTGGGCTGTCAGAAACCTAGGTGGTTTCTGCATCAAACACCCAATTTAGCAGGAACGAATTCCACTTTCAGTCGTTTTCTAAGATCTGCCTTATCTGCGATCTCTCCTGTGCCCAGTGCTCTCTTTTCATAACTCAGGAAATTCCTCGGTGCCTGCCAAAGCCTGCCATTCTCTAACATGGCTAAGTGCCAGCTGAATTCTTCAGTTGCAGGGTAAGCCTGACAAATTCTGCACTGAGGTCTCGTTTGTTTTGTTCTCTCAAAGCACATTATCTGGACCATAATATACCCTATTTTAATGATCAATTTGAAAAAGAAAAAAAAAATCCAGCTGAATACTCGGTTAACTGGGGTATGAAAAATTGTCTTGCCTTGCAGAAGCCCTGTCGGCCATGAGGAAGTTCTGCAGCAGTAAGGATTATTCCCCCCATGCTCAAAGGGTTGCTAGGCAGCTTTTTCTGTCAGCCCTTATTATGCTCAGGATGCCATGTTTAACAATTTACCTTCATGCCAGAGTTAACTCCTCCCGAAGCTCAGAGACTCATCTCTGTGCTACAGCAGACGGGTACAGCAGTGGTCCCCAAACTGCAGTCCATGAGGCAGTACAAGCGGTCTGCAGAGGGTTCACAAAACCAGGGCACTCTGGGCACAATTCTTCCATTTTCAGTGAGAAGCTCTGTAAGAAAGATGCCAAGTGGTGCCCACGGAATACTGAAGGTGTTCTGCGCTCAATCTCCAAGGTGTTCTGCACTCAGTCTCCAAGGAAGTTGTGAATGCTCCATCCCTGGCAGTGTTCAAGGCCAGGTTGGACAGAGCCTTGGGCGACACAGTTTAGTGTGAGGTGTCCCTGCCCATGGCAGGGGGGTCGGAAATAGATGATCTTAAGGTCCTTTCCAACCCTAACTATTCTATGATTCTATGATTCAATCTAAACCAGATGCAACAAGCAAGCTGAACCCCAAGGGTCATTACAGACTTTGGATTTGCTTTACTTATGGCTGGCCCCCTGTTGCTTTACGTGGGGTGCCGATCTCCAGCTACACCTCTGCCACAGTGGCTCCCCTCTGAGCTAACCACTTTCCAAAACTGATCATCCAAAACTTTAAGCACGTGTTGAATTGTTACCATCTGAATATTTCCATTTAACCTTGTCCATAAAAGTGATCTGTGTTTCTAAAGGGAAAAGGAAGATCTGATAGACTTACTGCTCAGCAACAAAAATTTGGCCCAGATGACAGGTAGGAGCATTAACAGGGCAGACTAATCCTAGAGTGTCTATTGTCAGTTTCTTCAGCACTCTTTTCCTTTCCATCTTTCAGGGGGGTCTCCTCCCTCCCCCATCTCTCTTTCAGATTTTAAAATGTTGGCATCACAGATCCCGACAGCTCCATTCAGTGGCTTTGTGTGAATTCATTCCAAGACATTCTTGGCTCATCTCTCCCCGACATCCATGTCAGCAGCTAGCCAGCCAAAATAAGGCTACTCACAAGTACTTTCCCTTTTCCTCCTTTGACCAGTGTGGAAACTAGCATCATATATGTCCCTTGTCACTGGCACAAGGTCCTTTCAATCAAGGTGCATCTTAAGTATAGTTTCTTGCATCACAGCATCTCCAAGGATAAGCTTGCTTATCCACTCACGTAGCAATCTGAAGTCTCATCATTCAACATTAGAGTCTCCTTATTTAACAACAAGGTTAGTGCATCAACCTCTTTGCCAGTCGGACAAGCGTTTTCAAGCCTGGCATCCACCAGCTCTGGTTCCTGATACTCATGCCCTTTGCTCACATCACCACTCTGTTCCTTCATTTGCTCCCTTCTCCTCTGAGCACTCACAGACCCCTTGTCACCATTTTTGACAACCTCACCTTTCCTCTTGCCTTCTTTATAAGCACACTCCCTCTGGCCCCCAGTCACACACTGGTGCCAGCTTGCATTTGTCCACTTACCAAGGGAATTGCCTTTCTGCCCTGCAGTTCCCAGCCCTTAAGAAGAGCTCCTGGTAAACATACTCCATCTACTGTGTCTTTCTTCTATGTCTTCCTTGAAACCACTTGACAAAATCTCAAAGACAAAGGCTAAACAAGCTGCTGATCCACTGGCAGCTGCTCTTCTCAAACACAGCATCATGGCCCCGTCATTTCCTAATGTTCTCTCTTTGGTCTACCTCTCTCTTCTGGAAGAGGGGCACCCCTCCCCTCACACCTTACAGGCACGATTCCTCATGGCTACCCTAATACAAACACTTCTGAGCCCTGTTAATAATGTCAGAGTACAACTCCCTTATGTGAGTCACAATGACTAATTTCCTACCATCCTTCAACGTGTACAAAGTCAATTGTCCAGCTGGGGTCCTGCCCACTCGTCACAGGCTCTTGACCCTTCCAGCGCCTTGCTACATTGTTTGAGGTCTTCCTCTCCGTTTGGACCGTCCTGCTTGCCCCTGATTACACCATTCTTCCTCTTCCCACTGGCCACTGACTTCCCATTTAGTAAAAAGATAAAGCAAAGATAAGAGGTATAATAATCCTATAACATTCCAGATATGATTCAAGACTGGTATAAATTGTCTAAGCCTAACTAGTAACTTTGGTCACCCACATATCATGGGTCCAAATGAGACTGTGTTTTCATGAGGTGCTCACCATCCACATTCTGCATGTAACATGCCAGAAATCCAAGGCTTTGAAAGTCCAGCCCACCGTAGCACACAAAACAAAACCAAGAAGAGTCAAATAACCCCACTGCCCAACCAGAGACAAGTCATAAAGCAATGTAAGGAAGAGAGAGTGTAAAAACTAATTGGTATGTATTCTTTCCAAGATCCAATCATACACACCTACCACAAGGAGTTTCACTGGCTGTTAAATGAAACTACATTTAAACCACATGAAAAGCAGATTTAATGTTGCCACATTACAGAAATATTTAAAATAAGTCAACTTTAAAACTGCAGATTGCAAGAAAGATTAAACTGGATTTAAATACAGGAAAGCAAGTATTTGCATGTAGCTTGTGCTCAATCCACACCAGCAGCTATCACTGCATACACAGAACTATCACTTTACCTTACCTGTATCAGTGCTTGAAAGTGCTGAAACACACTGACAAAATGATTGTGTCCATACTCAAAGGTGTAATTAAGAACAGAATACACAAATGTTTCTGTTAATACAGAAAAAAAAGGGTACGCTCTGCAGCCAGCATAACAGTAGAACTTCTGAAGATCACTGATTAAAGGAAAATAAAATCAAAGCATACTGGAAGAAGAAGATGTTCAAAATTACACAGAGGACTGATTTAACTGTCACCTCTCAGCAGCTCAGACCATACACAAAAAAATACAAATAGATAAAAGACAACTGAAGAAATCCTTACTATTCCAAGCAAGTCCTAGTTTTTCCTCTAAGGGTGTGCTGTTTCTCCAGACTACAGAACAGACATAGTTTAGTGTATGGTGTCCCTGCTCATGGCAGGGGGGTTGGAACTAGATGATCTTAAGGTCCTTTCCAACCCTGACTATTCTATGATTCTGTGACTCAATTCACTCACCATCCCTTTGGTCTAGGTACATTAAAAACAAATGTGTGGTGCAAAGGCCCTTCACAGTAGGGCCTCAGCTTGTAATACACATTTATTTTTCTCATAGTAGCTAATGAAGGTGATTCATTTTTATGGAAGGCTCAAAGACCACTTCTAGGTAGAGAAACTAGAAATCACTTTCTTTAACAACCAACATGTTATACTCACAACCTTCTGTGCAACATGATGGCAATACGTTATACTGGATTATACAATGCAAAGATCCATTGAGGAAGGAAGAGTTCAGCA